GCATGGCAATAATAATTAGTGCATGATTTTTTGCAGGCAAGCCTTGAAGATTGGTTTTGTGATTAAATTATCTTACCTATGATATAAATTTCGATTGGTTAACAGATTGGTGTAGTTACCTATATTGACTTACTATTCACATCTGCTTGCCAGGTAGCCATGCACAGAAATAAATAGGCAAGTCTACCTTGGCATATTCTGTGTGTTAGAAACTATCAGTTGAGATAAAACTCATTCGGTTATCAAAAGAGTGAAGGTGATGAAAGAAAAATGATTAAAATTAATTAAATTAAAAATAGCTATGAACACTTTTCCATAGGCAAGTCATCATAGGCATATTTGTTTATAAATTATATTTGATAAAAAAATATGTCTCATTGCGTTATCAGATCAGTGAAGGTCGATCTTATACAGTCTCCCCTACTATCAGTAGAATCATTAAATTCAGGTAATTTTTTAAGTAAAGGTAAGGTATAGTGAATTTTTCCACAGGATTGTTACATAAATGAAACTATTAAATTTTGGAGAATATGTATTCTAGCTTACATAGAAGACGTAAGAAGCTTACAGCTTAAGCTTAGTTCTCCTCCAGTGACGCCTCTTAGCATTGTATCTGAAAAAAGAAGAATTCATTTGTCAAAATATTTCAAGTAATTTGTGCAGTACGTATCTTTACATATATATATTAAAAACAGTAAAAGTAAGGTTCTATTAGCTCAGCAGGGATTTCTGTGGTAAATCAGAAATATAACAGTAAGTATGATATTAAAGGACATTGCTCGTTCCCCATACATTGAATGCCCTAGAAAACCCAGCAATGAGAAAATGCTAGTTGTGTTCGGAATCATTCATAAACTCTAATTAGGCATTCGTTGAGATACGGACAAGTTGAGGAACCGTGGAGTACTACAGAATGTATTAGATTTTGAGGTTATAATTATTATATTTAATCGTAAAAGATGTACACTTTATATATTCTGAATAGATTTAGTGTTTACCTCTATGTAAGCACTTAAATAATATACATTAAATGAACATAAAATGTAATTAATAATAAAAATAATAAATGCTTATATTCATATTGATTTATGAGTGTTGTCAGTTGGCACCTATGATACCTATACCTACCTGTAGTAGGTAATAATAGATTTCTTTTCAAATGAAATGTTCAGTCTTTCCATTTACCTGTTTCTATATTTTACTATCGGTAATTAGGTATGTACCTGGTTAAATAAACAGATATTACATGGGATGGGAGTATAAACTATCTTTACATAATTTCAGAAATAATCTTTTTATAAATATAATATAAATACTAGTAATAAGTATTATTAACTAAGGTATCTAGTTCTATTTTTATGTTGATAAATACCTATGGTCGCCTTTATTGCATTTATTAAGGTAAACAATCTTGGCACAACTTTTTAACAGAATCACCCATTTAATAATAAAATATTGACGAAGCCAATAAACTATTAAAATAAATCGTTATTATAGACTGAAACCCATTGAATCCAGTTTTCAGTTGATTTTTAATGCTGTATTTTCAATAAAAAGGAGTGCCAAGTTGGTTGAACAGACTGTAGTATCTAGTAACAGAACTTTTTTTTTTATTTTTTTAAACAGATTGTCCGTTAACTATGATTAATTGCTAATAAATTAAAAAAATAGTAGAAAAATAATAGTGAAGGACATTCTTTTGGGCATGATAGGGCCGATTTCGTCGAAGTCCTTTAAATATTATTGATAACTCTAATCTTATGAACAAAGGCATAGATAACGACAAACTTCTTGAGCAAAAACAATTATAAATAAACTTGTGCAGTAGACTATTTTGTTTGCAAAATTGCTTTTGAGCAGGCTTCCTTGCCTATCCTATGGTCATTACTCAAGAAGCTTGCTGCAATGTTTACTTATTTAAGTAAGATACATATATTGATAGTTTGTTACAAAAAAACATTTGCTGTGCTGCCAAGTCAGTGTGGGTGGTGGGGAACGTTTTTTTAAACAATATAATTTCACTAATTAAATAGGTACGGCCAAAATGCTAAATAGGTAGTAAAGTTGAAAAGTAAAAGACAATTAGTATAAGTAACCTGTTTAAATTTGGTTAGTTTTTATCTCTGTTGTTGAGGGACCCTGAGCTACAGCCTGCCTGCCCCGCCTTAGATCTATCTGGCTCTTAATATACCTTGTGCAAGTATGAAAATTTTTCATGGCTATACTACTATAAAGCTACACTAGAACTCTACATTTAGTCCAAAAATGAGAAATCACCCTTATTTTTGCAAATAAATTACCGCTGTCAAATTTAAATATAGCAAATACTAATCACCATGTAAAGTGTTAACATTACATGTTATAATGTTCAAATATTTTAAGGAATAAGAATACATCTTACAGACGTATCCATATTGTTTTTAATTTACAAATTCTTTGAATTAATAAACGCAAAAAGGATCCAACCCACCGAAACTTAGTTTTGAGATATGATGTTTTTAATTTCAGACTGTATTCCTTCATAGATTCGAAACTTTATCTTTTTACAAAATCATATGAACTTGAATTTTACTTTAAGGATAAGAGTACTTTGGTATACTAAACTAATTTTCGATAAGGTTGTGGGTTGGATCCTTTTCATTTAACAACGTCCAATTATTGTAATGAGTAATAGTCATTCCCGTAGGTGCATTTATTTATGTTAACTATTCACTATTGAAAAAAAATTAAACTGGTACCATTTCATTAATCGCTGGATTGGAAGCTGCTCAAGCTTTAAAATAAGTTTGACAGTGGTGTCAATTCTGGCGTGATTCTCTAAACTTAAAACTAAATTTAAGGTCAGTCTCACCTTTTCATTCTGTATAGAGAAGGACAAGGATGCACTGTTGTCAAATTTAAGTTTAGCTTTAGAGAATCATGCCAGAATCGACATCACTGTTATTATTTGCATTTAGAGTACTTACAGATTGATTGTTTACAATGGCAAAGGGACTGATACATACTTTTTAAGAACTCCTACAAAAGTATTCGTAAACCAAACGTGTTTTCGACAAATTAGCACAGAATTATTTAAATAAATACAACTTGCAGCTATAAACAAAAACGCTGGTTTACTCACCGAATGGTATTTCCCGTCCTCATTCTTACCCATTGTGGAATGGGTCGATTTTGTTTTAGTTTCTTTGCAAGCTTACGCTTGATAATAAAGGTCTTGTGGGCTGACTAAAAAGTAAAATACAAAAACGAATTTAGTAAAATATACAAAATAATTCAGATTACCTTGATTTCGTTAGATTATCCTAAAAAAAAATACCAACCATTATGCCTTTGCAAAATGTCAAAACAAAATGATCGAGAACGAGCGAACGGAACTAGCGGTTTTTTTTAAGGCGGAAGTGTTGCCACTTCAGAGAACAATATTACTCTAGGAGTGCCACTTGTCGAGGCAAGCGCAGATTGCCATGGACTTGCTACCTACAGTGGCGGCGCTAGGCTAGACCACATGTGGACGTCGGCGACATCAAGTTCGCGAGGCCATTTTACTTCGCAGTAAAAAACCGTTAAATTAAGTGAGCCAAATTAAAAAACAAAAAATGGATGCGTGTAACTTATGTACGCGCGTGAGAAGTTATACTTCTTTAGCAACATTAAAAATATTTTTTAATTGCATGCAAATAATTAATAATTACTATAAAATAATAAAAGGACTGGAAAAGGATAGTTAACACAGTCAATTATGTTCAGTTTTAATTTGAAAAATTAAATAAATATTCAAAATATTCAATTAAAATCACTACTGAATTTAAGTTATTAGTCCGTATGTAATTAGCACTTGTAAGTAACTAAAACACGTTGTGTCTATATAGAAACTAGAAACATGTGGATAAATATTATAAATATGAAAATAGTGATCAGAGGCGACGAGCGTGCCAACATTGTTTTTGACAACGCGATCATCTTATGGAGCTCCGTGGATCGTTCAAAGTACCTTTTGAACAGATGTCACACTAACATTCATAATGCGCCCGCGGCCAACTTCATGGTGTTACTATTGTGTTACAGTGATGCGCGCGCATCTCGAAATTTCACTCACATGATTTTTTCACAACGCGCCCGCGGCCAACTTCATGCTGTTACTTTTGGGTTACAGTGATGCGCGCGCATCTAAAAATTTCACTCTCATCATTTTTTCATAACGCGCCTAAAGAAGTATAACTTCAATAACGTATGAGTAACCGAGTTTTATTGTTGATAATCAAATGATGACAAAAAATAATTACACACATAGAAATTTAATTACAAAAATAGTGTTGCCAGACAGACTATTCTGAATGCCTGTAAAGTACTACTCGCTTTCATCACGCACGTTTTCGAAAATAATAAAAGTCATTATCATCTGCTTAGTTTTTACCCGATTTGTTCGGGGTCGGCTTCCTAAGCCAGGCCAGCAAAAACAAAAATAAATAGGTAACTTGTAAAAAAAAATTGCGAGGCCCCCTCAGGCGCGAGGCCGTCGGCGGTGGCCGACGTCGCCGACGCCTAGCGCCGCCACTGGCTACCTATATGTAGGTATACAAAGAGACATCTTCCGAACGGTCAGAGTTTTATCTCTTACTAATAGATGATTTTAATTTGGTAAAATATATTACTCTTTCCGAGTTATTATAAATTATAACGTTTCCTTCTTATGGAGATTTTACGTACTGTAGTTATTCTCATTTCACCACTTGTTCACCAGCAGCGCCCTCCTGTCAATGACATAAAAAAAAAGTACCACAGGCACAAGATCTGGGTCCATAGAGAAAAGTAATACATTTGGTCCCACAGTAACATTAATCTTTGGGAATTGAAAATTCAAACATATGTTACTAAACTAACATGTTTTTCTGTAAAAACATGCCAAAAAGTTCTTGTGTAGATCTTCTTGAACAATGGTGTCGATTCTTGACACCATATTCTAATTTCTATGATTATGGGCATGATTCTCTAAACCTGAATTAAATTTGACAACAGTGGTGTCGATTCTAGCAGGATACTCTAAACTTAAAACTAAATTTAACATCAGTCGGTCCTTTTCATTCTGTATAGGGAATGACAAAGATGCACTGGTGTCGATTCTGACGTGATTCTCTAAACTTAAAACTAAATTTAACATCAGTCTCTCCTTTTCATTCTGTATAGAGAATGACAAGGATATACTGCTGTCAAATTTAAGTTTAGGTTTAGAGAATCATGCTAGAATCGACACCACTGTTGTCAAATTTAAGTTGAGCTTTAGAGAATCATGCCAGAATCGACAATATTGTATGGGTACGGCCAGAGTGCACTCAGATTCAGATTCAGATTCAGACACAGAAAACAAGCGCGAGAAATATACAGTGTAGTTTAAGCAGGTTGCCTGCGGCCACTATGGCCACCCTGCTTTAACTACACTGTTTATTTCTCGCGCTTGTTTTCGGAATCTGAATCTGAATCTGAGTGCACTCTGGCCGTAGGGTGCGGCCAGAGTGCACTCAGATTCAGACTCAGATTCAGATTTCGAAAACAAGCGCGAGAAATAAACAGTGTAGTCTAAGCAGGTTGCCTGCTTTTTCTCGCGCTTTGTTTTCTGAGTCTGAATCTGAATCTGAATCAGGAGTGCAATCTGGCCGTACCCTTCGACTACACTGTTTATTTCTCGCGTTTGTTTTCGAAATCTGAATCTGAATCTGAATCTGAGTGCACTCTGGCCGCACCCGTACCCTATGTTGTAGACATAGATGAATGATTGGTCTCGCTTCACTCCACTCACACTCACTCGAGTGAAGCGAGACCAATCATTTATCTATGGTTGTAGACTCCTTTCGTAGTGTTATGTCTGTATTATTTAACCTTGAGTGATGCTGTCATTTAATTAAATTATATTTTCCAACTAAAAACATGTTATTTCGTATTATTTAATTGAAGACGAGGAGTATTAAATAATGGATACAGAACAATTTAACAAGTTTTTAGAAAAACAACAAACGCAACAAAAACAGATTAACGACCTATTGAATATTTTACAACATACGAATACAGTTCCGATAACGTCGAAGAATACAGGTACCATGGACGTATAAAAAAAGGCGGACAGAATTTCGGCTAAGACAATACTGAGGCACCGTAATGGCGGCGGCTATTGATGAGTGAGCGAAATGGAGGGTTGGTAGGTTAGCCAATTTTTTACCAATAAAACACAGTAAAAAGATGCAAATATTTTAATTGTACAAAATTTTACTTTTTGCCCGACTGCGGAGGATAATGTTTTTCGAGCGTATTTATGCCTGTATGTATGTATGTCCAATAACTTGGCACGCCCTACAGCCTGAACGTTTTGACGGATTTTGACATGCGATGTGTCATTTGATTTGTCGTGATTGTGTGAGTGGCACTGGGTATATTAAAATTTCAAAAATCAAAATAACAGAAGAATAATAATATTTTCTTTAGATTTAAACATCAAGCAGTTACATGCTTTAAAAATAATAAAAATTACAAAATAACAGATTTTATGAGTCAAAATGAAACTTTTTGAAAAAAAAAGTAAGTATTTTTATAACCCGTCAAACGAGGTATCAAAGTGAAGGGTTTTAAAAGAATATTTAGAAAACATACAACTCGTGTCATTAAAATAAAAATGAAATTAAAATGTAGAAAATAAAAAAAATACTAAGAAGAAAAATATAAGTCCAGTTGTCTATAATTCTGTTTAATAACGAACAAAGTTACTTTAACAGTCGGGACTCATTAGAAATTCTAGAATGTATCGAATTTTCTCAATATTGGGTAAATCAACTAAATATAGATGGCCTGGCCTGCATTCTCTTTCATATTTCTTAAAATAAACTAACACCCATTGAGTACTGTTTGTAATTGAGGAGTTCCATTATTTTCCTCTGAAAGTACTCATCAGATCTCCAGTAAATTAATATGCAGCCATCTCGCTAGTAAACTGATTAAAACAAAAAAAGAATCATCTCAAACGGTCCACGAATCACGGAGATCTGCGCGAACAACAATAAACAAAAACAAATATGACGCATTGCGAACCTCTTTCTTTTCGAAGTCGGTTAATAATTTTAATCAACCTTTTGAGGTAATGCATACGTAATAACACGCCGGAGTCCTCCTTTAGTTGTATATAAGTCTTGAGTAGGGATGCAAAGTCTTTTGAAATATCGATATTATATCGATATTTATATCGAAGTCAGGAAAATATCGATATCCGATATATCGACCATTTTAACTCGATATTATCGATATATCGATATTTTTTTCTTTTTTTTTATAAACATTAGAATACGGGGTGAGTGTGACACATTCATATGTTTGATGGCGAGTTTCTCGCAAAATGCATTGAGCGAGCTTTTTCTTTAAACACGCTTGATGAAATCGCGCCAAGCAGGATTTTTTTTGGCTCGTACGGTTTGTGTTTCAGCCACGACAGGAAACCAAAAAATTAAAATTATTATCCTGATCAGATCACTCACATTTGTTAGCACGAATGCGCCAACCCGCATATGTGGGACGACATTTGCGAATGCCTTCGCTAAGTTTTCACTACATTCGTGCTTTTCCAAGCTATGTCGGTTTTTTAGCGCACATCAAATACGCAAATTGCTTAGTCTCCCACACATCAGGGGCGTGCCCATGGCTTCAGAATAGGGTAAGCCTAAAGCTTCAAAAATTACTATACCTATCTTACTTGCTTGACTTGGCGAGCTTAAAAATTTACGATTTGTATAAGATTCTTAATTTTATTTGGTGTTATATTACAATGATATTTAATTTCAATTAATCAGTAGTTGACAATTATCTAGAAAGAGAGGCAAGGATTTTATTTAAGTGTATGAGTTACCATTAGGTATACGATTATACCTATATACGTTGGTGTCGGTTCAGGCATGATTATGTAAACTTAAAACTAAATTTAACATCAGTCTCTCCTTGTCATTCTGTATAGAGAATGACAAGGATACACTGTTGTCAAATTTAATTTTAGATTGAGAGAATCATGCCAGAATCCACACCAGTTTAGTATATTTCTTGGGGTTCAGGATTTTTTAATACATCTATAAGCTCTTGCGATTTCAAAGCAATAGTTATTTCCATATTATTCAATTTAGATAGTCATAGCAGGTAAATTAATTGATAATGGTGTCGATTCTGGCGTGATTCTCTAAACTTAAAACTAAATTTAACATCAATCTCTCCTTTTCATTCCGTATAGAGAATGACAAGGATACACTGTTGTCAAATTTAAGTTTAGGTTTAGAGAATCGTGTCAGAATTGACACCATTATTGTGTTTAAATTTAGTCTACGAAATATCGATATTTTGGAATTTCTGATATCGATATTATCGATATCAGTGTATTTTAAATATCGATATAAATATCGATATTTTGGTCTCGATATTATCGATATTCCGATATATCGTTGCAACCCTAGTCTTGAGCTTCAAAATGAAGACTAAAAATGACACTACTACATATTTGTTTGGAAATCATTCATTTTCCAGTCATTTCTCCATACTACATTTTCTTTAGGATATCTGATAAAAAAGAATAATAAATAATAGATTTATGTCAACCCAATTTCCCATATTTTAGGTAATATGGTTACATGAACATTGATGTCGATTCTGTCATGATTCTCTAAAGCTAAACTTAAATTTGACAACAGTGCATCCCTGTCATTCTCTATACAGAATGAAAAGGAAAGACTGATGTTAAATTTAGTTTTAAGTTTAGAGACTCACGCTAGAATCGACACCATTGGCAGCACTGGACTTTAGAATAATCATTTTGTCCTTAAAATTAAAATTGATTTAGATTTCTAAAAACTAGAAAAAAGTGATTCAATTATTCATTTATCTATGAAACGTGATCCTGGATTTTTTTCTTTCGGTCATTAACGGTTTTTACACCTTTTTACAAGCAAGATATCTTGTTTAGCTTATTTTTATCTCCACGTAACATGCCGGCTGCTTTGACGTTTGCACGCGTAGTGGCTGACTATTGTGTGAATGCGTGCGTGCTGGCTTGTACGTACAGCGACCTGGCCGACTCTGAGCGACACAGTTTATAGTTTACCGGGACTCTGTCCGCCTTTTTTTATAAGTCCATGACAGGTACGATATCAAAGTCTGCAACAGAGTCACAAAAATTAATATTATTATGAGAATGTGAAAAATTGAAACCCGAATCAACAGATGTAGAAAATTTTGTGGAATATATGAAACAAAATGCGACATAATAGGAGAAGGTTATACTGAAATGCGTAAAGATTTATTATTCACATGCCTATCACCACAAGTATTCCATGAAATAAAAGTTGCACTCACACCCATTTTCAAAGAGCGATATAAGAGGATGTCAAAAATAAATTATTGGATTTACTTCGTACTAGGAGAACAAGATTCAAAGTATTGGATGATTTTTGGAACTACCCGAGAAGAAAACGAAAGCATGGAACGGTATGCCAACCGCTTAAAGCATCTTAGTAAACATTGTGGGTACGACGGCGACGGACCGTTGCTGGAAAGACAGTTACATGATCGTTTTGCCACGGGCTTAAACCACGTAGAACTTCAAATCGACCTCAAGCAAAAATGGCCAGATCTCCAAGAAGTATACGAGGGCAAAAGGGCAGAGGTAACGCTTGCACAAATCTTCGCGATGGCACAGTCTCGAGAAACGATGATGCCACACCTACCTCGAGTGTTCATAAGGTCAACTATACATCTACTACGAGAGTTCATAAGGACTATGAGCAAAAGGGAACTCGCAGTGCAGGCCGGTTGCTGCAGCCCAATCAATGCAACAGATGCGGTAAACGAGTCAAATACGACATACAACAATGTGCAGCCAGGAACCAAACTTTGAGAGCTGTTGCATAAAATCCGGAAGAGCATACATAAGTTTTAAAAAGCCGTATATTGATGTCAATTCTGACACGATTCTCTAAACCTAAACTTAAATTTGACAACAGCGTATCTTTTTCATTCTCTATGCGGAATGAAAGGGAGAGATTGATGTTAAATTTAGTTTTAAGTTTAGAGAATCACGCCAGAATCGACACCACTGTCAAACTTAACAAAATTAACGACATTAAATTGTCTGGACTCATCGTCATTAGATAGCGACAGCGACTCTGATGAAGAGAGTGCGCCAGCTGTGTACAAAATGCAAAATAGATTACGTAAGAGTAAAAGGGTCAATGTACACATACTAAATGGGCGACCTTGCACAATGGAGTGGGACCCAGGTTCAGTATATTCAATCATAAGTGTTAGTTTCTGGGAAAATATTAGAGCTCCACAACTGAGTAAGACACCAACACTCCGTGCTTATGGCAATACTAAGTTTATCATACACCTCGATGCTTTTTGGCCTGAATTGGATTTTTTAATTTAATACTACCCATCGCATTTGCATCAAGGAAACTAAGGGCGCCAGAAAGGAAGTACTCCGTCATTGATAAGCAATCTTTTTTAGTATTAAAAAATTCGATCAGTATCTTCGGAACTTAATAAGTGTTTTTTTTAATTGATTTGTGGTTTACGACGTTAAAGAAAAACTACTTACTCGTTCTCGTTCAAATCAATTTTCGTTGGAAGTTTCCATGGTAATTTACATCATATATTTTTTTAATTTATCCTTTTTAAGTTACAGGGGGGGGGGGGGGGGGCAAACTATTCAGGTAAGAAAAAAAATATATTAGAAACCTCAATATCATTTTTGAAGACCTACCCATAGATAGACTAAAGTCCGCATTACAGAATGTCACCTGTTGATCTTTACTTGAGTACAGTTAGAAAGGGATGTCGCTATATATAGCACATAGCGATATCCCTTTCTAACTGTTGCGTTGACTACCCCACAGAAGCTCATCGAAAAAGCCAAATTACATTTCGTGCCAAATATTCCAAGAAACATTAGAATGCGTCACACCATCATTATAATGTAAAAAAAGAGAAGATTAATAAAGACTCAGCTGCATGGGCATTGTTCCCTTAGCCTTCCCTAAAAAGGGAGGATCTGAAAAAAAAAAACTGTCACTTTTGAGACTTTGGCGGACTTCCGAGGCGGGAAGTTTAATTTTCTTTTTCGCTGAATAAAAATTTTATTTTCCTTGTTTAATCACATAGTAAACTAGCTTTTTAAGAGAAATGAGTTCCGAAAGTGGTGGTAGTAAAAAGAGAAAAGCTGAAACCCCAGTTACTAATCTCTCCAATGATGAAAACTTAACCCTTTTGCGCCATATTTCAAGCAGAACCACATCAGAAGCTATCCAGAGAATTCTCCCGGTACTGTCTTTCCTGTTTATATTCAAAGCAGTAATGAAAACATTAAATTTGGCAACAAAGACCCCATTTATTTAAACAATATATTCAGCAGATATAACAAAGGAGTCAAGGAAATCAAACGAGTCAATGCACTACGCTATACTGTTTTATTTGATAATCCAAAAAATGCTAACTCTCTTCTGGCTAACACTACTTTTCTGTCACAATATGAGCTTAAAGCATTCATTCCAGCCTCAAACTCCGAATGTATTGGAGTAATCAAGTTCATCCCGACCAACTTGAGTTGCAAGCATCTTTTTGACACTAAATACATCTCAAGAAATATTATCTGTTCGCAGATTTACAAAGAAAACTCCAGAAGGTGTGGTCGGACTGCAAACTGTGTCTATCACATTTCTGGGTAAAGTACTGCCTTCCCATGTCACTTATGGTCTATGCACCTTACCTGTGGAAGAATATGTGAGACCTGTTATACAATGCTATAAATGTTTGGCCTTTGGACATACAACTAAGTATTGTAAAAGAAATGTTGTATGTTCAATCTGTGCTCAATCTCATCATTATAAAGAATGTACTGTTGACAAACCTTCTTGCATCAACTGCAAAGGTGAGCATATTGCTGTATCCAATTCATGTCCTATTAAACAAGCCAAAATTAATGAAAATAAGTCAAAAATATTTAATAGACAGACTCTTGGTGCATATTTCCCATCTTTACCAACAAGTTACGCTACAACAAGCTCACCAATGCCAGCCAAAATTAAAAGGATTAATAAAAGTGAGAAGGACATTATATCCGAAATTTTAAATAATGAAAAAATCCTTAAAGCCATGATAGAGACACTGTTATGTTTTTGTAGTAAAGAAAATGACTTACCAATAAATTCTACGACAATTAAAGAAAAATTCATTAAAAATTTTAGTTGTAACAATGGATAATAGTCAGATAAAGGTAATACAACACAATATACAAAGTTTGAAATCCAAATCAGCTGTTTTTAGTATCTGAAAGCGTAGATATTTGCTTATTAAGTGAAACTTGGCTTGCACCTAAAGATGAAAGATGTTGTGAATTTTAGAGGTTACAATTTGTTCAGAAAAGATTCCGCAAACGGCTATGGTGGTGTTGCCATCTTATGCAGAAAAAATTTAATTAGTTCAGTTATTGATACATATAGTAGCAATAGTATTCAAACAATAGCGGTTAGCATTAAAACATTAACTGGCAAAATAACTTTATTAAATGTTTATTGTCCTCCAAGAAGTGGTCGCTTTCCCATAAATACTTTGAAAAATATTATAACGTCACTACCTTCACCATTACTAGTTATGGGTGACTTTAATGCACACCACACAGCATTTGGTTTTTTGTCGAACAAGCCTCGTGGTATTCAGATTTATGATATGCTTGATGAAACAAATATGTTCCTATTAAACAATGGAGAAGTTACTACTCTAAACCGTCCTTATCAATCTGCTTCCGCGATTGATTTAGCGTTTGTTTCCCCTAATTTAGCTCCGTCCATAGAATGGTCAGTATATACAGGAGATACACTGGGCAGTTATCTATTTCCTACTATTATACACTTGGATGTCACACTTGGAATATTTAATTATGAACGGTCTACTGATAAATTTTTGTATAAGAAAGCAGATTGGTCAGGCTATGCATTAAAATCTGAACTACATTTCAATAATTTATTATCAGAGCGCGATCCTTTGATGGCCTACAACAAATTTTGTGAGTTTGTAAATTTATTAAGAGATGAATTTGTACCCTTGTATAGGAATAAATGTCACGACGTTAAATATCATAAACCTGTTCCATGGTGGAATGAGAATTGTACAAATGCTGTCAAGGAAAGTAAATTAGCATTATATGTATATAGGAAATACCCAACTATTGAGAATTATTTAATATACAAAAAAGTCGATGCTAGCAAAAAACAAGTAATTAAACAGCAAAAAAAAAGAATCTTGGCAAAAAACGTGCTCAACCTTCGATAGAAACACACCTATTAGTCAAATATGGAATATTGTCAAAGTATTTAATAGAAAAAAGACTTCAGCAAGGCAACAAGACGATAGTTTTGTAAATGCTTTTTTAAACAGAATCACCTCAAACCAACCCCCTGTAAATAAGGATACTTTAAATGATGTTTTCAATAACAATGAACTAAATGATCATTTGATAACACCGTTTACTGCTGATGAATTCATATTCTCATTAAATAAAAGAAAAGATAGCACTCCGGGGCTAGACAATATTCCATATGTCTTAATAAAACGGCTTCATTCTGCAGCTAAAATAGTTTTACTACATATATATAACAGTCTATGGCAACAAAACATTATCCCGGAGACTTGGAAAACTATAGCAGTTGTCCCTATTTTAAAACCTGATAAGGACCCATTATTAGCCGAATCCTACAGACCTATATCACTTTCTTCCTGTCTATGTAAATTATTCGAAAATATGTTAAAAACTAGATTAGAACTCTATGTAGAATCGAGGTCTATCATTCCTTCAGATCAATTTGGGTTCCGTAAAGGACGTAGTACTACAGACAGTTTGGTTAAATTTTGCGGAGATATACAATATGCCTTTTTTGATAACAGTTACTTAATTTGCACTTTCCTTGACGTTACCGGTGCTTTCGATAATGTAAACTTATCTACGCTAGTCCACATTCTTCATTATTTTAATATACCAGGGAAAATATGCCAATGGATCTATAATTATTTCAATTCACGTTCTGTTTATGTCAAATATAATATTCTACACGGTCCAAAATTGGCACATAAAGGAGTAATGCAAGGGGCTACTTTCTCACCTTTAATGTATTTATTATATACGTCATTGTTACATAAATATGTGCATTTAAAAAAATTATCAGTTCTTCAATATGCAGATGATATTGTAATTTATACAAAAAATAAAAATTTAACACAAGGTGTAAATTCATTAAACGAAGGACTGGATTCGCTTTGTTCTTTTTATAAAGATATGCTCCACTTAGATATTCCACATAAAAGTTCTTCTTGGATTTTTAGTATTAAGATAGATTATAACGCTGTTAATATAAATATTGTATATGACTCTGTAAATATCAAATTAGTAAATGAAAAAAGATTTTTAGGTGTAATATTTGATTCTAAAATGCATTTTAAGTCTCATGTTGTAAATACTGTACAAATAATGTAAAAAAGCATAAATATAATGAGATGTCTCGCGAGTGTTGATTGGGGCATGGACCCCAAATTACTGGACATGATTTTTAAATCCATTGTTAGAAGCCATTATGATTATGGTTTAATAATTTACGGGAAATTTTTAAGCCAACCTTTATTTAAGAAAATAGAAGTAACCCAAAATAAGGGATTAAGAATTATTACTGGAGCACTGTGCTCAACTCCTATAAATTCGCTTGAAATAGAGGCTGGTATTCCGCCCATTCTTGTTAGACTACGTTACCTTACTGAAAAGTTTTATGTTAAAGTTTTAGCGTCCAAATAATACTCAAATTTATATAAACACAATAGACTATTGCAAAATGATTATATTTTTGAATTAAATAATATTTGTGAATGTATAGACCATAAAGGCAAATGGGATTTAGGCTCATTAGAAGTACAACTTACTACACCTTTTGTTCTTTCTGAGAGAATATCAAATAATAATGACTTTTTATATTTTGTTAATACTGAGAAAAAAGAATACCGACCGATATATACAGATGGATCTAAAACGGAAAACAGTACAAAAGCAGCATATTACGACTCTTTGTCAAAATTTGGGCGTTGTTTCACTTTAAACGAAAATTCTTCGATCTTTACTGCGGAAGCATATGCTATATGTGCAGCTTTACAGTATGCCATTGCTTTAGCTGACATCAATATTTTAATAGTGACTGACTCATTAAGTGTTTTAAGTTGCCTAGAAAATATTCAAATATCCTATAAGAATAATATATTTATTAATAAAATAAGACAGTACATTTACTATAATCCTGAAAAACAAATTGAGTTCTTATGGGTGCCATCCCATAACGGGATAACAGGGAACGAAACTGTTGACAGATTAATGAAAATTCCAACTCCTGCCTACAATAATCCACAATATGCACTTCCACCTGTTCCAATGACGGATTACCATTCAGTTCTAGAACCATCGCATGTTCAAACATTGGCATGAAGATTGGGAATTTACCAAACAATTTAAGGGAAAGTGGTACGTAAGTATCCAAGAAAAGATTCCAGTAAAGCCCTGGTACTTCAGTCTTCAATCTTCAAATAGAAGATTCATAACTACTATTAACAGGCTCAGATTAAGTCACGGAAGATTCGGTGCACACTTACATAGATTAAACTTAAAATCTTCAGAAACTTGTGAATTTTGCGAAAATGATGAAGCTACACTAGATCACCTTAGTTTTACATTGTCCCCGCCTTCAACATATCAAGAATTATTTTAGTAGATGGCCTACTGAAGATATTTAAAGATGATGACATTCCCCGCCTCTTGCCATCTATTCTCAAGAATTTTAAAACATATAAAATTTTATATGACTTCATCTCCGCTACTTTTGTGCACTTGTAAAAGAAAAAAGATACCGCCTTAAATAACAACGATAAATATGAAATGAACTCATAATATTCAAGAATTGGCTGTATGGATATCATCCAAGGCCGTTAAACTAATAAAAAAAAGTCACTTTTGACAAGACAACTTTTTTACTACAAAGTGCCATAAAAAAAAAGAAAAAGAAGAAGACAAAGACAACAGAGAATTTGTAAACCAACCAAAATGATTGCGATTATTGAGATTAGCGAATTCGATATTTCAATTTTTATTTGAAATTTTGTTGTAAACAACCTACTATTTGTCTTATATAACTTGCAAAATATCATTCAGTCTTAATATTTTATTTGCCTTGACTACCAATTACCAGATATGATTATAAATAAATTATTGGGAGTATTCGGATCCCAGCGATTGCTTCAATGTCGAACATTTGCGATGAGAATAGCAGCTGATGGTAAAGCAATACCCAAAAAGAAAACTTTTGAGAATCGGATCACGTTGATAGGAGCGGATAATACAGTTAGTATAATTGATTTGAAGAGTGCTGAAAGTTTATCTTTGAGGAGAGAGCTAAAGTTGGTCAAAATACAGGATGTGGATTCTAAAACTAGGCGACCAGTTTATAAGTAATTAGCAGTTTTCAGATAATATTATTATAAAATATTTTGAATCCACCCTTTCAAGAGATTTTTTTAAGAAATTTATCACTTCCAGATTAATGACAAATTCTGAATATCATGAAGAAGAATTGGAAAAACGAAAGGAGAGACAGGAAGCGCGACAAAGGAACTCCATCAAAGGGCAGAAACTTCTAAATCTCTCATCTAAAATAGGAGAACATGATCTAATGACATCTGTAAAGAAGATGATTAAGCTTCTAGAAAAACAATACGAAGTACAAGTGATTCTTATGTATGTCGGTCAAGATGGAGAAAAAGTGTGTGTATGTACCTAAAAGTATTTTGTGTGCTAAGGTGTCAGATATTAAGGGGCAATTTTGTAAGGTTTCTAGTTTCTTGTGATACTTAGTATATTAATTAATGTAATAATACTCTTTGTTTTCAGGAAAAGATGTATGACATAATTGAAAAGAATACAAAATCAGCTGGCAAATTGGTTCAAAAAAGGAACAAGGGCAATAGTTTAAGGTTCCAGTTGTTGCCTGTTAGAGAAAATTCCACACAGACTGGTGGTGTATCAGACCAAAACACAAATGGAAATGATAAAGGGCCACTGTGACTAGTGATGGTAATTTTTTCTATTATGATTGTGAAGTATGCCCTGTACAGAAAATATCTTCAAAATATAGAGAGGAAAGAAGATGGAGAAATAAGAAAACAAAAATACTTCGCTAATACTTTTTTGGCTAAATATTATACTAATAGGGATAAGTAAAAAATTTATTTATTTTTTAATGATTATGTTTAATTAAAATATTGTATTAATGTTTATATAGTTTGTAAAGAAAACACAAGATAGTAATAAATGAAAGTTTATATTACAGCACACCATTTCTATTCAGTCACATTTTCATACTATTACAACATGCTTTTCTCAAACAAACATTTATACATTAGATTTGACAAGGAGACACTTTAATCTAGGTATGTGGGTTAGGTACTACTACAATTATAAATAAGTTTTTATTTTTATCAGTTGGAATTATCACAGATGCTTCAGAGATCTTTGAATCTTAAATGGTACATGATTTATTAACAAAGTGCTACTGTGAAAACATTTACTGAAAGGATTACATTTGTGAAATTTGTGCCTTAACTCTTATTTATAAACAATAAGTATGAACAAGTTTATAAAGCTGTAGTTGTTTTAAAATCATATGCTATGAATTACTAATTTTTCTAAGCATATAAGTTTAGGAACTCCATATTTCGTTTAAGTTGGTAATTATAGTTACCAACAGTTAAGCAAGTATTATTCATGTCACCCTTCATATTTCTTGGATACATAAACATCTTATCCTTTAATTTTGAATGAACTTGAAGGCTGAAATATCTAGAGTTTTAAGTGCATTTCTTTATAAATAATCTTGTAACTACATAACAATCCTATTTTGTGTAATTTGTTGGTATAATATAGAACATAGTTAAGTGTGATTATATGATGGGATTACTAGTACACATATTAACTAAGTATAGAATAAGTCTACCAGCAAAATTTATATTCATGATATTTTGTAGGCTTAGTACAGTAATGAAGTTTAATTCTAATACAAGGTAATGTATAATATAAATTGTGTAAATTGAATTATTGGGAATGGGCTAAAATCACATACACAGTTAATTCATAAACTATTGATAGGTAAAACTAATTTCAAGTGACTAAACGTTTCAAGGAAGTTTACGGACACAGTTTTCACACGATAATTTAGCTTACTTTTTTTCACATCTACTTAAAACTTGCCAGAAAAGCTTTTACATACGACTATAAAAAGTTAAACGAATGAACACAGAGTCATTGACCTCTTTCTTTGTTTTTCGGAGGCCAGAAAAGCTTGATCCTTGGAGCTGGATCGCTTCGAAGATTTACATTAGTATTTGTACACTTTTCAGTCACCAAAGGCTATGTATAAATGGCGACATATGCATATCGGTCTTGCTCGTTCGGGGGCAAATCAGTGTTTAGGGTTCTGCCCCAGGTCAGCAGAGGAGACACGGTGCCTACCACGGGCGCAGCGCGCGCTGCATTTTTTATGAGGTTCTGTAACAAAAGATTTAACGTTCTACTAGATGTTCGTTAGTAGATAGATGTTACTTATGAGTACTCTTACTCATAAGTTTACAATGAAATAATTTCATCAGTCCTCAGATTACAGAACAAAAGGCAGATGGAGCTCACGGAACACGCAATGAGTGGCACTATAGCAAATAAGCAGACAAAAGCGAATATCAATTCGCGTCAGTACACTACAACGCATCGTGTTGTGAATACGTCCCGTGAATATTAAGTTTTTATCAAAACTGTGCCGCCTTGTTCAAATATTGTAAGAACTGATCACAAAGACAAAAAAGTACTTTTGACTTCATATTTGCTTATCCTTTTCTCTGTAATCTGAGCACCAGTCTATCTCTTTATTCCAGTTGTTATTAGTATAATTAAATTGAAAGTGTTATTAAAGTATGAAATAAACAGTGTCCCACTCATGCATGAAATCCCACAGTTGATGATGAGCATTAGGTATGGGTAAGTAGTTACCATTTTTTTTATTTTTAAGCATTTAATTGCTAAATGTTTAAATCTAAAGATTTTTTTTCTAGTATAATTTTTCTTTGGATTTAAACAGGTATCTGATTCAAAAAGTAATATATGTCAGGAATATGGAAAGAGCTTAAATTTTCAACAAACATTATTTTACTTAAAACTACTCTTGAGTCATAAATTAATTCAGAGTAGTGAACGATATTTCTGATGATCAGTTTTTATTATTATTATGAAGTTATTTGTAAGAATAAATGAATATTTTTCTATTCATATCTACCAGTAGAAATAGATGGAAGCCTATTTAAATTTTCTCTACCAAAAGTAGCTGTAATTAAAGCACTATTTTGATTACGGTCTATAGTTTAATCCGTAATAAAAAGAGACACGAATTATTTGTGTTTTTGAAGGCTTTTTGAGGCCGAAGACACATTTTATCATTTGATCTAGGATTCATCCATCATTAATTTTCTTTCGTTAGTTTTCCGATTTTCTCGTAAAATTATGTATGGTCCCTTCTTTCACAGCGAGTTAAACTCTACTCAACAGACTCTTAAGTTATTTAAGAAGTCTCAGGCGCTTTGCAGACGACGGGGCGGGGCGGGCCGGTCAATTTCGCCGCGAATAATAGCACAAAGTGAATCCTATACTTCAAACGCACACAGAGGGCAATAAGACCGCGCCGCATGTGCCCGGCGGGCAGTGGCGGCGCGGCATGTCCGCGGCTGCCCTCCGTGGATCATACAAACCAGTTTATATGCAGTAACGCAGACGGCGGCGTGGGGCGGTCAGCTCAGTCCGCGCCACGATTCACTAGAACGAACGTCCTAAACTGACCGCCTCTGCCCGTCGTGTGCTTTGTGTACGCGGTGCAGGTAGCCGCAGACATCGACGGGCAGACGCGGTCTTTATTGCTTCGCGGACAAAATGCCCGCCCCGCCCCGTCGAGCAGACTCAACGCCTAAAGAGTGTATTTATAACTTAAGGGTATCATTTAACATTTTTTTTATTGCTTACCCCAAAGGAGATTGCTCAGCTTCCATACATGTTTGGCCTAAAAACCAATAACCATGAAAAATTGTTTCCTACATTCGAAATTATATATAAATCACCGTAGAAACGAATATTATCGACGGCCACTCCTGAGAACTTCTATAAACCATATACACTGAATGATTTTGAGGTTATGTTTGCAAATAGGCATATAGGTATTAGAATAATAAAAACCAAATAACTTATATAGGAAAATAGGGCAATCAAGCCAAGTACCTACCGATATTATGTATTAGATTCAGGTATATAGAGCATGTAAAATAACAGATATGTGCATGTTTTTAAAAACACGAACAGAAACTGTGTGATGATGATTGTGAATGAGCCACAGATTAGAGAGAATTTTAAACCCTCGTTAATCAAAGAAAGCTAAGAGCTGTAGGTTATACAGCCATATCTTCAGCAGCTTCATTATTTTTGTTATGTTTTTATAATAACCATATTTTAGATTTTTAGTGTATCACACCTTATAATGTGTTTATTTAGGTGTTTGGCCACCCGTGTAATAAAAAAAATATATATTTTATCAATCTTTACAAAATAGATTTGTTTTGATGTTATATAAACAACCTCGATCAGTCTTTGTGAATGTTACAGCCAATAAAAATGATTCGTATGTTTTCCAAACCGGTAAAAATAGAAGTCCTTTTTTAAAATTAATATATTATTTAAAGGTGGCCGTTAAAATCTAATGACTGTAAAATAAAGTATAAATTACGCCAAGAATTACTGTATATGTCAATATTTTATTTGCATTTAGGCCAATTTGATCAATCTCCTTTAATAACGGGAAACCGTATTAGCCCTTTTTTCGTAGGTATTAGTTGTATATAGGTATTTTACCATGGCTCTACATTGATGACGGATTGACGGGACATAAAAAGTGGAGTGAAAATGGTTTGATTGTTAAAATGTTCGATTAGTAACGTGCAAAGCGTTAATATGAAGATTAGTAACTCGTCGCTTCTTGTTCTCTAATGTATTTTCAATAAGTAAGCATAATTTATTAAAAAAGTATTCGAAAATAAAGGCTTCTATTTTAACTCGGAACTGATAGGTATAATTTCTGTATATTTATAAATACAGAAGAAGTGCTTGCTTAAATAAAATAAAACTAAATCGTAATAACTAAGCTATTTCACTAAGAAATTATAAGGGAGTCGCACATTTCGACATGCCCCCAGAAGAAATGGTTTGAATTTATAAAAACTGATAAATAATTTGAAATATATTTCAGTTTACATAAAATCTTAATATGATCTAGGAAATATGGAACAAATTGGACGAACTATATTTTCCAACTACCTACAAATAAATAAAACAGTACACAGCGAGAAATCAACGATAACTCTTTTTTTTTTCATGTGTCGCTGTGTTTTATTTATGGGTACTTTCAGAGAACAAGTGAACGACGAAGGAAGGACACACCATGTTACCCATGAGAGAGGATCGCCGCCGGCCCGAGCGCCGCTTGCGCCGGCACCAACAGCGGCGCCTCCTCGCGCTCCCGTACCCGCGACTCCGCGCTCGTCCCACCTCACGCCGTGTCTCGGTGGTATCTGCGCCGCCCTTCTTGTAGCCCGCCTGCCCGACCGCCGCAGGGGGCGCTCTGGCGCCTTGCTCCGCAGAACGGTCCGCGATCATGTGAGCCTCCAACATGCCTAACGGCGACTCTGAGCTGTAAGGAAGTAGTATTTTATATGTTACTTAGCGTCTACAGAACAAGATCTGTTTAGCTTAGTACTAAATTATTATTGTGAGCTTTCCAGAATTCATTATTAAGTAAGTATTTTATAAATATTACCAGACAGACTATTGCCCTTCCCGACATAAATAAAAAAAGCTAAAACCCGACTGTAGTGCCACCTATCGGGTGGTGTGTAAGTTAAGTTTTCGAAATTTCTGCGTAACTTTCTTAATTTTTGTAGGTGATTCCGTACCTTAAAAGGCAAAAACAGAACTCGTATAAAATTCAAAAAATTCAAAATTCAATATCGTTTATTCAGTCTAGGCTGTTACAAGCACTTGTGAATGTCGAAAAGCTACGCCATCGGTTCGCAAATCTACGGCGGGAGACCTTGTACTGAGAAGAACCGGCAAGAAACTCAGCAAGGGCTGCTTTTTTCTCCCTGTTTTATTTCATACAGTGTCGTCCAATTGAAAGTTGACATCAAACTTGCAAACATGTGTCGAGGTCAACTTCCATCACATAATGTCAAATATGTAACAATAGACAATCAACGAATTTACTAACAATAAGTGCAAAGATAAGTCCCAAAATAGCAAGAAACAATTTTCAAAACAAAATGAACAAGTATATGAAAGGGAGTAAGTGCAAGGTTCTCTTCAAAACTCTTTCTAAGGCTGGGAGCCTTAGTTTTAATACAATACAATACAATACAATACAAAACACTTTATTGAACACCACAGAATACATTACAATAAATACAGAGCCATTTAAATTAAGTGTTACAATGGGCGGCCTTATCGCTAAAAGCGATCTCTTCCAGACAACCTTTTTAATATAACTTTTGAAAAATTATCTACAGGTAAAATTACAACCAGGCCGTTTTATCATTCAAATATTGATTGACAGTATAATATCCTTTCTTAACAATTCTTAATGTGTATTTTAAATTTATGAGGAGGCAAATAAGGATATCAATAGGAATCTTATTATAGAAATGTATACCTTGACCCATAAATGATTTATGAACCTTCTGTAACCTGTAATTTGGTATCTTGAGTTTATTTTTATTCCTTGTATTAAAAGAATGTATGTCACTGTGTTTTAGATAATAGTTAATATTGCTTCGAACAAAAAGTATGCAATTATAAATGAATTGAGAAGCAACAGTCAAAATCCCGATTTCTTTAAATTTTTCTCTAAGAGATGTTCTAGAACTAAGTTGATAAATAGCCCTTATAGCTCTTTTTTGCAAGATAAATACAGTTTCAATATCGGCTGCTGATCTCCAGAGAATAATACCATAGGATACAATACTATGAAAGTAACTAAAGTATACAGTTCTAGCAGTAGCTACATCAGTAAGTTGTCTTATTTTACGTATGGCATAGGCTGCTGAACTAAGATTACCAGCTAGCAGAGAAATATGAGGATACCATTGCAATTTCGAGTCTATGGTTATACCTAAGAATATCGTTGATTCAACTAAATCTAGGTTTTCATTGTTTAATTTAATTCCAATGGTTTTGCTTCTAACATTAGGTAAAGTCCGCATCCGCATCCGTTGTTGATCTACCCCTAGTAAAGCCAAATTGATTATTATGTAACAGTTTGTTCAAACTGACATGCGATAATAATTGATCTAAAATAATCTTTTCGAAAATTTTTCTTAATACCGGTAATATCGATATAGGTCTGTAATTACCGGGATCATCTCTTATGCCGTTTTTGAAGAGAGGGATAACTTTACTATATTTCATAAGGTCTGGAAAATCACCTTGATCAATACACTTATTGAATATATCTGCAAGATATGGAGCAATAACTGTTATTATACTTTTAGTAATTTTAATAGACATTCCAAATAAATCACACGTATTTTTCTTTTTAAGTGAGTTAAAGCATTTTATAATATCCATAAAATCAACATGTTTAAACGTAAACAGGTTATTACACCAAGGCACACACGTCTCTAGCAAACTCTTAGCACCCGCTGGCGTCGAATTCAAATTGGAAGTAGTAATTAATGGTATATTAACGAAATATTCATTAAAAGTATTGGCAATCTGTTCTTTTGTTTTAATTTGAATATTATCTACTTTAAGTGCGATCCCATCATCGAGGGTTCTTACTTTACCAGTTTCTCTATTAATAACATTCCATGTCGTTTTAATTTTATTATTAGATTTTATGATTTTATTTTTTGAAGTTATACTTCTATAGGCGCGTTATGAAAAAATTATGAGAGTGAAATTTTAAGATGCGCGCGCATCACTGTAACACAAAATTTTAACAGCATGAAGTTGGTGGGTGTTTACCGCACATTAAGAAAATCTACCAACAAAACAGAAAAAGAATCTCTATTTAGTGGGTGCTAACGACTGCCTTGTGAAGGCCTATCAAAAGTATTTATTAATCTGGAACAACGGAATCAAAGCGCGATTCAGGAGACTACAGCGCCATCTCTTGACCATTGGTGTAGTAGAACCAAAAACCACATCTTTATTTTTTGTGATAAAGTAACAGTTATAGGTATTCATATTTATAATATTTATCCACATGTTTCTAGTTTGTATATTCGGAATACGTGTTTGAGTTTCATACAAGTGCAAATCACATTGTTCTAATAAATTATATTCAGTAGCGATTTTAATTGAATATTTTGATTATTTATTTATTTTTTCAAATTAAAACTGAACTTTATTGACTGTGTCCTTTTCCAGACTTTTATTAATTTATTGTATTTAATTATTTGCATGCAATTAAAAACTAATTTTAAACGATGCCAAAGAAGGATAACTTCTCACGCGCCTACATAAGTACACGCACGCGTACATTTTTTTTATGTAATTGGATTTGGCTGTTGCACATACACTTTTGAATGTTTTTGAGTACCTTTTAACATAATCAATGAAACCCTGAGAGTGATTGTACTTCCTTAAGTAGTACAAATCATAAAGTTTATTTCTGCTCTTATAAATACCAGACGTAGCCCAGTCACAGAAGTTCAACTTTTGAGTTAATTTCAAAGTTTTAAGCGGAAAAGCCTTATCGAATTCTTTCTTAACCAAAGTGAACATATTGCCGTAAAGAATATTAGGATCCTCATGTGTCCATGGCATTTGAAACATTTTATCATCAATATTGTTTTGAAAAATTTCTAAACGTTTATTTGTTACTGGTCTTAATTCAATGAATTTGGGCTTAGTAGTGTCATTTGTATTATATGTTATTTTTAAGCCGCAATGATGTGATGTGATACAATTAATAATTGATTTACTAACTGGATTATAATCAGTAAATATATTATTCAAACAAGTAGCTGAATGAGATGTTACTCTAGTAGGCTCAAAAAATTGATGTACCAAATTAAAACATTTGAATAGTGATGTTAGGCGAATTGACATTGAATTATTTTCAAGAATGTTAATATTGAAGTCACCAACTACAATCAAAAACTTATTTTTAGAACTTTTTAGAACATTCTCCATCACTGATTCAAAAACACTAATGTTGCCTAGAGGGGGTCTGTATACACATACTATAATAAATTCACTGAATTCAACACAGGATAGCTCAATAATACGTTCTACTGAGAGGCCAACTATGTCCTTCCTATCCCTAGTTTTTATATTTTTATTTACAAAAATAATGTGCCACCATGCAGTACGAACATATGCACTTATCATTTGAAAATTGTTTATGCTAAAAGACACCTCAGAAGACTGAAGCCAGTGTTCAGATAAACAGATAACATGAATTCTTTTCAAATTTTTGCTCTTTGCAAATAGTTCTAATTCTAAATCTTTGCCAGCCAACCCTTGAATATTCTGATAAATAATATTAATTTTGTTGGATTTGGCTGTTGTCGTACCCCTCAGTTTAAATTTGAGTTGGTCCCCCTATTTTCTAAATTAATAATTTTATTAGTGCTGACACTAAAACAATCCAGTTGTATAGACTTTGTTATACCATGTATAACTGAGTTTTGTATATTAAAAGCTAACAAAGTAGCTATCTGAGTCTTATATTTTTTTGCAAGATACATAGTATCTGTGGTCAACTTAAATTTACTAATATATTTATTTATATCAAAATATAAAAAATTGTCACTATGACTATTTAATAAATTATAAATTATTAAATTCAAATTAAAGATGCGCTTGTTTTGTTCCCTAGTTAAATTTTCTGCATATGGGAAAGCGCTTATTATTATTTTACACTTGCACCTAGAGTGATAGTTAAGTAGCACCTCTATATTTCTATACATATCTCTTGCTCTTATTTTAGAGCTGTCACTCACATAATAACTATGTTTGTCAAACTGTCCGCATCATACTGATTCAGTTCACTTACAATGTCATTTATTGATTTACCTGGCATACATATATTAGTAATTCTTTCATTACAATAATTCCTTAACATTAATCCAAAGCCGCATCCTAACTTATCTGAGAACATAATTGTTTTACTTCTAGTTGTGTTCTCAGATAGCACTGGTTTGAAAGGAGAGGTACTATATGTAGTGCAGATTGACCTCACAGGGGAGTTGTTATGTGTTTTGCAAGTTGACCCAGAACAGACAGATGAACCACCAAAATTTTTAACTGTTTGAGAATTATTATTATTATTAACGACCTCTATAATTTCAGATGATGTTGATTGCAAGGAAGATTGATTTAAAGAACTACTTAATTGATTTTTTACTAAAGACTCATAACGTTCTGCATTGTAGTTGCATAGTTCAACTAATTCTGAAGCTGATTTTATATGCTCACTTATTTGTTTTTGTGCATTTGAATATTTGTTAGATAATGTTTCTAGTGACTCATGTAAATATTGAATCTCTAAATGTAATTTCTTTGTATCACTGTCGTACACCTGCCTACTCTCAGTCAACTTTGAACTATATATATCTATAGAATCAATAAGGTCCATTATTTCCTTCCTTAATGCTATATTTATTATTATTTATTTTGCTTATAATTGATCACTTTGTTGTCCGTCTGTCTGTCTGTGCGTCAAGTCAAGACCCTTTATAGCGTCCTGGTATCGATTCTAAAGAACAATGTTAAATTTGGCATTTATGATAATTCTTAGTAAATTTTTTGCGATAATTATCAGTATTTAGATTGTCACGGACACTTCCAGTTAAGTAAGCTATATTAAAAAGTTAAAGAATAATCTGAGACTACCATTTTATGTGTATAATCTATGACAGCGCTGCAAACAAAACACTCTTTCTTCCTAATGCCGGCACTTCACTTGGCTATTCGTGTTTGTTTTTTGAAAACTTGACACAGTCTAATATAATTCTCCTTTTCCTCGTTTTATTCCTTATTAAGCATGACAAGGACAGACTGTTTCAAGTGATGGGTCGGCATAAACCTCGATACTCTGTGGTTGTGGTGCAGGCAGTTTGCATTCGTAGTAATCTGTGGCACAGTGGCATTCGTGTATTCTCGTTTCGGATTACCTGTTGTGTGTGTTTATTTGCGATTGTTTTTCCTTTAATTTAACTATATCGGCTGTCTAATATGCCATCGATGTTACCAAACAGCAGAGACCTTATTACCAAGTGCTAGAGAACCTGTGCCACAACATCCTAAGAGGATCATGCTGTCAAATTATTCAAGAGCACCTGATACACACACATTCACGCTGCATATTTACACAATATACATTTGATATACAAATAAATACAATATACAATATGATACAATTATGTGTAAAATAGTCAAAAAATAAGAAGCATAATTACAGTTTTTATTTTATTCATGATTCCTACCTAACCAAGTTTTTCCTAATAGTTATTCTTTAAAATCGCACCGAATAAAAAAGAATTAGTTGTCATATTAATTCAATTCATACTGAGCTAATAAACATAACCTCAAAAAATATTTAGTTTTCCTGATAATTTAAGTTCTCAGAAGTGTCCGTCAATAATCTTTGTTTTTACAGTAATTTACTTGCAATTTCGAACCTAGAAATTATATTTCATGATTGTTGGTTCTTAGGCTAACAATGTATGGACGCAGAAAATGTCCTTTAAAACATATACTGAAGTCTACGGTCCCGTGACCTTAAAGCTGTGAAAATATCACACTTCAAAGTTAACTTAAAAAAAATATACTGCTGTTTATGTTTGCGTACCTACAAATTTGTACGGTGGGCGAGTCCGACTAGCACTTGTCCGCTTTTTTCTTTTTTCTGTAAAGTAGTATCTATAGAAAACTAGAAAAACACCGATGTGTTCAAGTTGGCGTCGCGTGCAATGGCGTGACCAAGGGAAATAGGGTTTTTTTTTCTATACTTCTATACTAATATAAATATTATAAAGAGGAAAGATTTGGTTGTTTGTTCGTTTGTATTGAATAGGCTCCGAAACTACTGGACCGATTTGAAAAATTCTTACACATTTAGAATCCTACATTATCTCTGATGAACATATAGTCCAGGCAACGAAAAGGTATAGAGGGAATTGCTTAGAACACAATTTTTGACTTCGTGACTTTGTTAGGACTAGTTAGGAGGTAAACATATCAAAAGTCCCCGCCCGTAGCCCTTAAGCCGGGGGGGGGGGGGGGGGGGGGGGGGGGGGGGGCTTGAAGGTCCCATTATTAGGTTTTTCGCATATATCTCGAAAACTATGCATCCTAGCGACATGAGACTTTCACAAAAGTGAAAGCTGATTAAATTTGCTACAAGTCCTATTCAGTCAAATTTTTTGATATCTTGTATAGTTTTCGAGATATCCGCTCTTGAAAGTCTGTAATTATGGAAAAAAAAAATTGTTCCCATTTTTGCTCTATTTGACCGGATAACTCTTTAACAATGCACCCAAAAAATAAATGCCGGCCGTAGGGTTGTAGAGCATTAAATTATCTTCAATAATAGAAACAATTGCCTTTTTTTTTTATTTAAGGACAAAATTGTTAGTGTAGTAGACGTATGGGGGCGGTACGGTGGGCACTAGGCCGCGTATTCAGCCCCCACGCGCGGGCCGTCCTGCGCACGTCTGTGGGGTCCTCGCGATACCCCGGGAGACCCCTGCCGCGGAACCTCGGCAAGGCCGGGAGGCTGCTAGGTGCGGAGACGCGGAAGAATCCCTAAACGGGGATTCCGCGGCTTCGCACTAAGCAGCTTAGAGGGTGTTCGCAGGGTTTTTTAGCGGATATTATGCCGTATAGCGCACGTAAGGGTTACGGGGTCCTCAGTGGGCAGCCACTGCTGGGGCTCGTAAGGCTTGCGGGAGCCAGGTGTGAGGTCCGTTCGGCGGTGTGCCTCTTAAAGGCGCCGTCGTCTGTAAATAGTATTTTTTGCCTGCGTATAAAAAAAAGGGTAGTAGACGTATTGACTAAAGGGGGTCGCCCGGTAAGAAAACTGGCAGTGTTGGCCGTTGCCTAAATAAGTAGGTGTCTACACCGCCGGGGGCCATGTTCACGACCAACACTACCTATTACATGATTTTGTGATTTTCTGTCGATGCACGAAAGACTGTGCAAGCGCGAAGTGAGGCTGCAAAAAAGCAAGCCTCAAATGTTCCCCAGCGTGCCAAAATTGCCAGGGGAACTGCTTGAATGGGGTCCCTCAAGTTGACTCCGAAGGTGAAGAAGAACAGGAGGATCCTCTGACCGTTTCCCTACAGGGTTCCGATGGAGAAGATGTCACAGAAAAAGAAAATGTAAACGAAGACGAGGATCAAGGTCCTTCCCATCCCAAAAGAGCAAGAAATTGACTATATTGGATTTTTTTACAAATCTCTTTTTGCTAGTCATAGTGAATTGTATCTAAAACTGCTGCCGTATTCGTACCTGTATAGCCAATGAGAACCGGAAAAAAACCAGAGGCACAGGGCCCTACCGTCTCAATTTTTTTAAAGTCCAGTTTTATAATTTTAATCATTCTTAATACTACTTTTTGTGTTGAGCTGGACCAATACAACACCAGACAATCTTATCATTTAAATAATCATCTAATTTATAATAACCTTTTTTGCATAAAGTAGTTACCTCTTGCAGTTTTTTTAAACTTATTTTCTGGATTGTGTGAAGAACCTGGTCAGTGGGCCAACAAGTACATATTCTAAAATGAGCATGTGTGCTATTTAGACATCGGTGCATCGTTAAAGAGTTATCCGAGAGTTATCCGGTCAAATAGAGCATAAATGTAAAGCATTTTTTTTTCTATAATTACAGATTTTCAAGAGCGGATATCATTATTACAGATATTATTATTAGATAATTACAGTTTCTCAATGACACTAATTTACTTTCTTTTTTACTTATGGACCTCACACCTGGCTCCCGCAAGCCTTACGAGCCCCAGCAGTGGCTGCCCACTGAGGACCCCGTAACCCTTACGGGCGCTATACGGCATAATATCCGCTAAAAAACCCTGCGAACACCCTCTAAGCTGCTTAGTGCGAAGCCGCGGAATCCCCGTTTAGGGATTCTTCCGCGTCTCCGCACCTAGCAGCCTCCCGGCCTTACCGAGGTTCCGCGGCAGGGGTCTCCCGGGGTATCGCGAGGACCCCACAGACGTGCGCAGGACGGCCCGCGCGTGGGGGCTGAATACGCGGCCTAGTGCCCACCGTACCGCCCCCATACGTCTACTACACTAACAATTTTGTCCTTAAATAAAAAAAAAAAGGCAATTGTTTCTATTATTGAAGATAATTTAATGCTCTACAACCCTACGGCCGGCATTTATTTTTTGGGTGCATTGTTGAAGAGTTATCCGGTCAAATAGAGCAAAAATGGGAACAATTTTTTTTTCCATAATTACAGACTTTCAAGAGCGGATATAACTCATTGACGACAGGGCAAAGTGATGTAGGTACTATAGTTTTATAGAGGACATAAATATCTACAAAACAGTCCGCGATATCATATATCTAACTATTACGTTATGTCGCAACTAAAGGTCCCCTGCTGTTTCACCCGCGTTAATATAAGGAAAAAGGTTATAGTGAGTCAAACTTAAAAGATGGTCATATACAACTGCGAACTTTTTTTATAGAGCTTTTAAAGGGGACGAATTTCGTCACACATGATTTTTGTGTAACTTTAATCATTTACGCAGCGCACGCAACGGGATCTCCCAAATGGAATATTTTTTTACTGATCGCAGCGTAATATTATATAGCCTTAAGCTTTCCTCAATAAATGCACTATCTAACACAAAAATATTTTTTCAAATCGGACCATTAGTTCCTGAGAGTTGCGCGTTCAACCAATTAAATGGCGCCTTCGGTACAAATAAATTAAATTATATAAAGATTGTGTATAATACAAGCCTGAGAATAAAAACTATATGTAACCCGAATTGAAGCGAGGGCGGGCCACTAGTATATTATAAATTAATTTTGTATTTATATACCTAACATACAGTTAACAGTTTATCCCACAGGGTGCCAGTTGTCTTTTTTTAATTAAATTTATCTGATATTTGCTTGCGGTTGCTTACACAATAAAATATTGTTATTATAATTATGGATGAAATATAATATGAAAATAAAATTATTGAGTACTTACTACGCGCTGACCGAGCAATATTTGCTGAGTTGTTCCCACGTGCAGCCGATTGTACAGCACTCATCCGCTATGCCTAGCTGTCGTTTCCGTCGCGCCAATGCTCCATGTTCTACCACTGAAATTTTAATATAAAAAAAATAAATAAATATTTCTAACACTCGCACCAATTAGCCTAGCCCCAAAGTAAGCCTTACAGGCAGTGTTGCCAACTCGGATTTTGAAAAAGGCGTAGGCCCGATGACAAAATTACGTAGAATTAGTAAAATTTGCATATGAAAAGTTCGTAGATCTATGTATTTTTTTTTTGAGAGAAGTTAGTTCGTTAAAACGAGTATTTTCTTATACAATTTATTTAAAAAAAGGAGATAGAACATAGAATTTTTGGAGAAGACGCTACATTGGCAGTATTTACCATGCTGTGGTAGACATTTACCATCAGACACAGACGCTGCTAAACTCTAAACTTAGCACTAAATTTAACATCAGTCTCTCCTTTTCATTCTGTATAAAGAATGACAAGAATACACTGTTATCAAATAGGCTGGCTAGTTGACACTTTTTGAAAATATGTTTTAAATGGTTAATAATTATGTTTTTATTTTTTAAGCATTTAACTGCTAGATGTTTAAATCTAAAGAAAAGTTTTAATAGAAAAAAATCCACGCGGACCAGGCAGCAGACGGGACTCGAACCCGCACCCTTCGCAATCCGGGCGAATGCACTGACCAATTATGCTACCGCGGCCCTGATGGCCGCGTCGAAATTTTCCTATCCTTAAGCTGCAAGGCAGCGCCATCTCTTCGCATTGTAGGTAACCCACAATGTCAAATTAATACTTTTTCAAGTATTAAACATTTGAAAGAAGAAATAGCATTTATAGCTATGTTTTTATTTTTTAAGCATTTAACTGCTAGATGTTTAAATCTAAAGAAAAGTTTTAATAGAAAAAAATCGACGCGGACCAGGCAGCAGACGGGACTCGAACCCGCGTCCTTCGCAATCCGGGCGAATGCACTGAACAATTATGCTACCGCGGCCCTGATGGCCGCGTCGAAATGTTCCTATCTTTAAGCTGCATGGCAGCGCCATCTCTTCGCATTGTTGGTCAGTGCATTCGCCCGGATTGCAAAGGGTGCGGGTTCGAGTCCCGTCTGCTGCCTGGTCCGCGTGTTTTTTTTTCTATTGGTTAATAATTGTTATATTAGACCGAAAAAACTGTATTGTAGTAATTATCATGATTGTATTATGCGAGAATGTAGAAACACAACGTTAAAGACTCCAGAAAAGTGGTGGTTTAAATTGCCCAGAGAAATAAACATATCTACACATGAACACATGTTTAAAACTTGCTAAATCCTGTAACTTTATCGACTGAAAGTCATTTCTTTTTGCAAAGATCACTTCGGTGTAAGTACTGATTCAATAATATTTTAAGTTTAAAAATATTTTTTTTAAGTTTAAATGTACCTACTAAGTAAGAGCTTTGTCGTTTCTGCTTTTACAAATTCGGCGTTCAGCATTAATTTAGTCAACAAAACCAATAAACGGAAACTCTTCTACAAGATATAAGAGTCTTTAGATATATTTTAGTCCGACGAAAGAAACCATAGTAACACAACAATGACGTTTAGTTGTTTACAAATTTTGTGACGTCATTCTGATTTTATTAAGTGAAATCGATGTATTTAAGTAGTTAGTAGTAGTAGTAGTAGTAGTTCCTCGTACCAAAAACTATAAGATATAAACATTTGTATAGTTTATAAGTAACAGAAAATATGCTTCCCTATTCTAGTGAGTTATGTTATTTTGCAAATTTGTACAAATTAAAAGAAAATACGTAGATTTTGGGACTGAAGTTAGTAGATTAGCAGAAAAGGCCTAAAATACGTAGATCTACGTAAAAAGACGTAGAGTTGGCAACACTGCTTACAGGTTTGTGTTGAGGCATACTCAGAATTTTTAAACGCGACCCGACCCGACGCCACGCGTCTTGTGTTGAGTCAAATGAAATCTACTATTTTCTATGATCAAAATCACATTAGAAACATCCGACACGACACGATGCGCACACACTGATCATAGAAATTACGCGTCGCGTCGCGTTTCAAAAGCTTCTTTTGCCGTACTATACTGGGGTAACGGATAAAACACATAACTACTGATAAAATAAGTAGGTATATTTAACCATATATATAAGTATACATCCTTAACCTAGGTACAAATTCTGTCAAAATGACAAACAGAAACGGTAAATCTACGAATAGTAATCATTACAAATTAAATACCACTAAACTTTATTGTTTGGAATTACCATTATTGAGGAAAATGATTGGGTTATTTATTTGTTAATATATCAAAAGTCTTGTTGGCGCAATGCTGAGCGCGTTGTCTTCTTAGATATTCCGAAATTGAATTCCATACTGGAATAGAAGAAAAGAATATTTTATCACCTAGCCAATCAACTACCTATCCTGGGGGATAGGTAACTTTAAAAGATGAGTAGCAGCTTAATTCATCGTTGTAAGAGCGGGATGAAAAATGGGCAAAGCCTGTGTTCTGTGGGGAAAACTGATAGGTAAATTATTCTATTGGATCTTGCTAACGATCATGAGCCCACTTCGAACATAAGCATAAGTTTATTAAAGAAGTTAAAGGAGCAATCTCAAGATGAACTCAGTACACTGTTATAACTTAATGTAACTGTTATAAATAATAAAACAAATATTAACTGTTCAAATTCTATAAATAACTATTATCTGACCCCGTATTTGTTTAAATGTAACTGTAACATTATAGAGTAGGCGCCTAGATAAACGTACCTGACCCTTACTTATCAGACCAAATGATGATCGAAATATGCTTACCTAGATACATGCTTAGTAACAAAAATAAAAACCGAGTTCACAAAAACAAAAACAGTACAAATTAAGAAATAATTCTTAAGCACTACCTATATCTAAAGTAGGAAGGTACTTAAATTTAAAGTAAGATAAAAAAAAATAGAGTTGGTGCCAGTTACCCTAAGCAGTGAACTGTAACTTTATGTTAGTTGGCATTACTTTAGATGTTAAATGCACTATAACCGTAGTCAGTCTAACATTCGTTGCGCCCTCAACAACCATCATCGCAACTTCATACTCCTCAAGGGATTTCCAATGCAACGATCCTGTGCTCTCCGCATCCAGTGGGCCCCTCGACTCGCTTGATTTAGTCATTCCATCTGGTGAGGGGTCTACCGACACTACGCTTCCCGGTGCGGGATGGCGTTGAAGCACCTTGGGATCCTTTGAGCTATGTCGGTTGTACTTCTTCTTTTACAGATTTCCTCATTCCTGATTCGATCACATAGAGAAACACCGAACATAGCACTCTCCTTCGCTCGCTGTGCGGCTCTGAGCCTTCTTATGAGGCCCATAGTCAACGACCACGTCTCAGCTCCGTATGTCATCACTGGCAACATGCACTATTCGAAGACCTTGGTCTTCAGACACTGAGGTATTTCGGACAAGAAGAATCGCGTAATTTCCCAAACGCTGCCCAGCCGAGTTGGATTCGGCGGTTTACCTCATTCTCGAAATTGGACTTATAGGTCATAAATTCTGTCACATGTTTAATATAAAAGAATTGAAACAAGTTTATTCATTATGTAACCATTTATATACCAAAATGAACTTAACAAAACACAGATTCTCATGACAATAAAGTTTATTCAAAATTCACGGAGGTCATTTTTGAAGTCAGGCCTTCAATCTGCGCGGCCAGTCGTCTATCGCAGCACGAACGAGGTCCATGTCAATATCGGCGGCTGCCTTAACCAAGGATGTCTTGAGTGACTCCAAATTAGGATGATATCTTGTAATCTAACGGACTCAAATCTGCCTGGAGGAGGGCCAGTCTTCGTGCCGGATGAAGTCGATTTTTCTCAGATTTTCCCAGTCTTGTGTGCTCTTCGCTCTATAAGATGGCGCCGAATCTTGTTGGAATACCCAGTGCCTGTTTTTGAACATGGTATGAGAAACAGGTTCCACAAGGTTCGTCAGGACTGTATTTTGATACAGAACTGCATTCGTTTTTACACCTTTCTCCCAAAAATGTACCTCTGTTAAGCCCCAATAAGAAACTCCCAACCATACCATGAGCGAGGATGGAAAATGACCTCGTTGGACACGCGGAATACGGTTGCTCGCTTCTTCACTACTGTGTGCGTACACCTTATCATATTGTTGTAGCTCTCTTCCACGCTAAATTTTTTTCATCCGAAAAAAGAATTTTACGTACCGCTTCAACAAAGCGCGGCATCTTTGTCGACAATTTCCAAACTTGACACACTACATTACTGTCAGCTCATATGTATCATACAAACATTTGGCCTACCGGGACAGGACCTAGTACCTCTGAGTAGGCGGCAAAGGTTTATAACCGGCGTACATACCGCAACGGCGGTCGCCATAATACAAGTGCTTCAACTAAAAGGGAGAGTACGGATTTTTCACAGTAGCTTGAGTAGAAGACAAAAACTGTGGTAGGAATGTAGGTATACCTTCTCAGTTCTACCTATCCGGCCAGAAAATTTTCCCTTATTCATACCTTTTTAATAGGAAGACGACATCATTAGGCTCGTTCAGGAGTAGTTGACTATAGAATATAGAGGACAAATCCCAAACTAAAGAGTCCATTTTAAAGATGATTATCCTTACTTGCCTTTGTGCGTTACCATTTAACTGGCAGCTACTCGTATGTGCTACTACACAATGTCATTTTGACTTTTTACTTAGCGGGTGGATTATTAAGATTTAAAATCTTAATAATTTAGGTCTACAGGATTTTTTATTTTTAGTTTTTATAGATTATATAGAATCATCGTTATCGTAATTTGGAAATGCTATAGGTAAAGGGACTTTTCCTTACGTTAGTTGTAAAATAGAAATCGGTATTAAATTTAAATTGTGTAGTTGAGTACTTACGTCAATCTTTGATAAAAACTAAGGTCGTGTTCTAAATAAATACTTGCAAAGATATTTAATTTTTTTGATAGCATTATTATAGAAAAACAATTCCAAAATAATAAAATATTCTATGCCTGATACTTAATGATGTAAAATACGACATGTATTG